GATGCTGACCTGCTCTGAACTCCCATTTATCCTCAGCTTTGAAGAAGGAAGTAAAAGTTCTTTAAAAGTCTTCCTTGTACCTGCTGTATATCATGGTCTGCCTCACTACATACACCTTTCCCTTGTGTTCTCCCAGCATCAAGGTGATGCAGGAGCACCAGATACTGATAAGATGTAGATGAAAATGTAATTGTGAAAAGAAAAAAAGAAACAAAAGACATTCCCATGTTAACAAACCATGTAAGCAGCTGATGAGCCTTAAATATTTGCCTAAACTTCCTTTTTATAGAATGATGCTTTCTGAATCTGAGCCAAATTTAGGTTTTCATCATATGCTTGGTTCTGAACTGGGAAACCCACCTTGCAGCTCTCTGTGCACTTATTACTCTCAACGATTGTAAAATGAATGCTATAATGACAGTAATATCCATTCAGAATACTAGGGTACTGCCTGAGTGGATGTATATGACATGCAAAATAGACAGCATGCTAAATCTATTCAACATGCCAGGTTTGTATATTCAAGGAAATAAGATAATCGGCTGGTAACGCAACCTGGCTGTGTGTGATTCTTTAAAAATATATACATGTGTATACTTTGCCCCTTGATTTGTTCCTGTAATTTTCTAAAATATATGTTAAAGATATCATCTGCCTTCTTAGATTGCAAGAGCTTCATTTTCCCATAAGGCCCACATAATCAGAGCTGGTTCCTCCAACAGGCATCTTTGCACCTCATTAATTAGTAATCAGGGCAGAAGCCGTGCACTTAGAGATCTACATACCTGCAAATGTAATGATGATTGGGCTCTAAATCTCTCCACAAGGCTTTTTTTGAGGCTTCTTTTTTTGCTAATTGTGGTGCATGCCATTTTCAGCCTTCTCCAAGGATTCTAAAGTTTGGAAGGAAATTAAAACTTCACATTGTGCTAGTTTTTCTATTGTGACAACTTTCAAAACAAAACTGGCCACAATGACAGGAAAACTAAACCGTCTCCCTTTTCTAAGGGAGTGTTGTTCTCTCTCTGGGGCTGACTTTTAGCAGTCATCTGTAGCTTTTTTTGAATGCTGGGAGGAGAGGACAAAGCATCTGCATGCACAGGAGGACTAAACTTTTCAAGCATCACTGTAGTCGAGGAGAACTTTGCTGTTGGAATCCGGACTCCACATTCTATCATTTGTTGTGCTTGCAGTAGGCAAAATTTTCCCTTAAGTATAGAAACATCATCCTGGACCTGCTAGACTAAGTGTAGCCTCTGTGGATTCTTCTTTCAAAGACAAATTTCACCTCAGGTTTCTTGGCAAATTACAAAAATAAGAGGCAGTGGACCAAAATAGACTCCCAGTGAGTTACTTGTTCATTGCCTGAAGTTTTTCTTCCTAAAGTAGATTGAACATATTGGCAAAGCACTACAGGGAATTGTGCAAATTCTGTTTTGCTCTGCAAATAACACCTGCTTGGAAAAAGGGTTGGTTACCTACTGCTGCTGCTGTTAACACTTGGGCTTATCTGCATGATACTCCTGTCTGCCTTGTGGGAATACTTTTAATCTTCAGAGTATTATATTCCACCTAACCCTAACATGAAAACCAAGAGGGATTGGGAGTTTTTGCCCCCCTTTGTTGTTTTTTTTCCTTGCTTTTATTTGTATTTTGGAGAAAACACATTGATAGATCAGAGGGTGCAATTATAAAATTTAATAACTTTTTAAATGTAGAGTCCTGGAGGGCATAGGTAGTTCTGGTAGGCGTGCCTTAGGGGTGGTGAACTCTTCTTATGACAGAAGGCAAACTAATATCATGATGATAACAATTGTAGAGCTCCTCAGAAAGACAAGGTGTAGGATCCATGGAGGAGGTGAGAGTTTGCACGCAGCTTGGAGAGCCAAAAGAGAAACAACAGCAGCATGAGTGATGCGGAGGCCTGTTTGGCATGTGTTTCCCATGTGCTTTGTGCTATCCATCTGAGGAGGTATATTAACTGTGCCAAAAGTAAATTGTAAACTGTACCTCTTCAACTAGACTGGTAGGTTCAAAGAGGAAAAGAAAGCAAGCATGCCAGGGCATCTTGATTTTCATGATCCTTGGTGTTTGAGCTTTTGAGGAATGCTTGAAACTCTTTGATTTCTGAATAGTAGGAGGATCCTACTGCATACTATCAGTCAAGTGCTGTTTCTTACGTTTCAAAGAGGTTAAAGAAATTCTCTTGGTCAAGATTTCCACATAGCTGGAAAGCTGTGTGAGAGGTTGAACACTCATTACAATTCTGAGCTTGCACATGTTTGTGAAGGCTTGAGAGACATCTTCAAGCTGCAAAGGTAAGAAGTGGTCCCCACATTCATCTGACAGAGGTTTTCAAAGAACAGTATTTGCTGTTTGATAAAATAACCCCTCCTCATCTTGAGTGCCTTGCAGAAAGGTTTGAGTAAGCATCCAAAACCTGGAGTACTGTGATGAAATGCTCCTCCTTCTCCATAATTGTTCCTGTCTTTAGATGTAGGCATAATTTCAGAAACCTGGCCCTTACCATAAAAGGCCAAGCTGGTCTCATGAAAACTGAGAGACAGTTATGGAAGAGGCATCTTCTGCACATGTTTGACCAAATTCCTGGGCATTTCTGCAGGATTAGGACTTTATTAGCAACCTGGAGATTTGTTTTCTTCTGGATAGGAACTGAGTGGCTGATGGATGTATGCAATTATCCCCATTCCTTCCCTATGTACAATAACTCATGTTTGAGTCATCTCTCTGCTAGTGCAGATGAAACAAAGCGTAATTTG